CTATTTTGTTTAGATTTGTTTTTAAGATGGAGTGGTCACGCTAATTGGATGTGTACAGGCCCAAGTGATCCACCGGCAACACATTTATAAATGCAAATTTTACAGGCAAGCACGTTTTCATACATCTGTATCTGCCTGTAGACAGATATAGTAAGAAAAAAAAAACTTAAAAAAATTAACACAAGGTAGTCTACTTTGTCAAGCTAACCCCTTATGTACTGGCTGTCATTTTGCTTTTATTGTGGAGATGCAGAACGGAGCAAGAAGCTCAAATAAAATGGCATAACCCTTGTGAAAATAAACTAAACCCTAGGGATTACTTTCCAAGCCTTTCAAAGGCAGACCTTAATGTGGGGCTCTACTGTACTTCTAGTTTATTTCCAGTGGTTTAGGTCTCCACCAGAAGACAGATTTTATTGTAAAACATGCTTATGTTTTCATACAGGGGAGAAAAGTGTTTGTCTCTGTGATTAGAATGTCACTAAAATAAATAGGAACCAGATACAATTTTTATTAAAACAGAAAACCCCCAAACTTGTTGGGATCTGGCATCGGCCAAACTTCCTTTGGAAGATTCCAAAGTTAAATCCCTTAAAAAGGAAAGGGAAAAATAACTGAAATGCCAGTGTCTTTCCATCCACAGGGATAGAGAACAAAGTAGTCCTCTCAGAAACCTTTGCATTGGTGCAGACAAGATGACTGGCTAGGCATACACTGTTAAAACACAAACCAAATAGATGGGTCTAAAAAAAATTAAGAGGACAGAAAAAAGACACATCACTGGAAAGAAGTTGCAGTCTTCTGTCTTGCTGGAATGAACATATCATGTCTTAAAAATAGCAACCTTTGGTTTGGTAGTGTTTGTTTTTTTCTTCTGTTCATGACATAATGGAGCAGTTGGAGGAAAATGAACACTTTATTCTTTTTCTTTCTAAAAGACCTTCATATTGGGTGCAGTTAAGAAACTGACTTTTAAAAAAGAAATTAAAATGTTTCATTGAACAGGAGTAGGGACGGCGGCAGGAGGAATGGGCCGAATTCCCTTGTTAAAGCAACAGTCCTCTACCAGGACAGTACTCAGTGCAGCACCCGCAAGCAGCTGCACGGGAGCATTCGGACCACTAACACAACAAAACCAGAAACTACTAAGAAAACTTGATTCATTTTTTTTTTAAGTGAACAAAAATGGTCTTGTCTCTTTTTCTCATTTGGGAAGGAAGTAGGTAAGGAGAGTGAGCTTGGAAGGCTTCCAGAACCTGCTGTTTATAAGACCCACGGTTAGGGCTTGTGGAAAAGATGAGCAAAATCTAATCTATTTGATATCCTCCAGCTCTAGGGCTCCCCACTACACCAAGTCCCTGAATGGACTAAGTATGAAATCAAACCAGTCACTGTCACAGAGGAGGAAACACATTCAGAACCAAAACAAAGGCCAGGCTCAAATGAAATGAGATATGAACATAGTTTCCTCTTCCCACTCCTGATCACTGAAGCTTCACTGTGAGGAGCAAAGGTACTGATGTGATAAGTTATTATTTCACAGGGAAAGGGGATGAACAGAGACACATAGACAAAGGAAATCGATTAAAATTTAAAAAATGAAAAACAAAACAGAAAAACCAAATACATGGAAGCGAAGGCACTCCAAACTATATAGATACACTATACATTGCTAGAGTTATTGTTACAATAATACAGGCCGGTACCTACTGTACAGAGTTAAAACTATATGGCTTTAAAAAGCTCGTCTACATTTTGTCTGGTTATTAAACAGAATCACTGCCCTGAACAGTAACTTTTTGCTCATTAATAACAGTTCCTGGGTCCACATATTTACATACAAAACAATAAAACTTAAATTTAAAAACATGAAAGAAAATATAATGTACAAGCTTGAATTTGGTGAGGAGCTTTTAATTATTATTATTATTTACAAAAAGATATTCAGAGACCTGGATCTCACTTGTATAAAAGAGTTCTGTGATCCCGCCATGATCCTTGAGAAAGAAAAATCGTGCACCTCAGCCCACACACACACACACACACACACACACACACACACACACACACACACACGCACGCACGCACGCACGCACACACCACACAAATGAGAGAAAAGCATCTGACTTTTCTCTCTTCTCTTACCCCATGTGTAGGGGGGCAAGTATTTGCTGAAATAAGCACTGATTTCTATTGATTCTTCTAGCGAGTATACCAAGTCCCAAGTAGTGTCTGTCCACATATCTGCCTGGGCAGTTTCATCTGAAAGCAGGTCCACTTCTCATTCACAGACCTAACTTGTTTAGATTCTTTACAAATTCTTTGTGAAAATGGTTTCCCAAGTCATTCCCTTTAAAGAACCATGTTGCCAAATGCTTTGATTTCAGAATTCTTAATTAGCTCTCAAAAGCACTTCACAAAAAGTACAAGCCTACTTGTTTGATTTGGTTTGACTGAGCGTGTTTCCTTTCTCGTGAACATGATACAGCCAGAGGTCTGAGTGACCCTTTTGCGACCTAAGAGCTTTTCTAAACAGTGAGTGAAAAATAGACGGCTCACTGTTGCCTTTCTAGGTACCTGTTCATTTCAGCAGGCAGTATGACTTTCGAGGGTCATACACACGGTCGAAAAAGCATGACAGGGCCTGTGTGAGGGCTGCCAAGAGACTCCACTTCCTAACCACCTGGAGGGCGAGACCCCTAACATGACCTAAGGGGACAATGAGGGTAAAGAGACTACACACAGCCTAGGGCTCTGCAGCCCTGGTTATCAACTAAACCTTAGAAGGTGTGTGGGGATGGAGTGGGAAAGTGGGAAGGAAGGAAAGGGGCCATCACTCAAGTGATCTTTAAATGTAAAAGCTAACTGATTGTGCCTTAAAGATTCATAGGTCAAGTAATGGCCCATAAGCACCAAGGTGACTAAGGTTCTTTTTAGAGTATATAAGGCCCACAAAGATACCAACCTTAAAAGTATAAAACAAACTAATTATGAAATCTATTCCTCACTGCAAACATAACCCTTCAATCCTCCTGCTTCCCAAGGAATATTGCTTTTTCTTCAAAAACAAGAGACTGACTCTTACGCCATCCATTGATAAACAAAGAAAACAGAAACAAAACTCAACTGGGGTTGGGGGCATTCTTCTCATGCTTCAACCAGTCAATTTTGATACTGTAGACAAAAAAAAGGCAGCACTGAATATGTGTTTACATAACATATACACATTTATATCATCAGTTTTCCTATAAAGTCAGCAGGTACAGGTGACTTTATCATTTTGATGTGTTTTTAATATTCCTACCATCTAAAATCATAATGGCCTGACATGCATCAATAAATAAAATTTAAAAGCAACAGGTTAAAAGAGCTGAAATTAAATACAGATTCTATATTTGGATTTAAAATTAGAACTATGTGTAAGAATGTGGCAATTCTTGCGTGCCTGATTTTCAATTAAAAAATATGAAAAATAAAGCAGTAGACTGTTAAAGTTCACATTATTTAGCTACAATGTCCTCTTGAGTATATTTTTCTAAGGGAAGTAATGTTAGAAAAAAATCTGGACAAATTCATTCACAGTGGTGAGATCTGCCCCTGGCCTATCCTCTTGAGCTTTCTGGCCTCTGCATCCAGAGGGGCTTGCTCAACACTCTTTTCAGACTCCTAGGGCGCCAGTTCTTAACAGTGCGAAGATTTGAAGAGAGCCTTTGGTTGCGTGAACAGAGATGCACGCACCCAAGCACGCAGGTCAGATCCTGCTTGCTGCTCTGTTGGCAGCCTTCCAAAGCGGGCTTCTTCACCACTAACACTGGCCAAGAGCAAAACGAATTTTAACCAATCAAGCAAGAATCTTCCCTTACAGTTTCAGACTTCAGTGACCTCCCTGGGTTATGAACAATATATATTTCTTTTTTTTTTTTGTCTTCCATACCTGCCAACAACATGCCAACAGCAAGTCTTTAAATACCCAAGGATATGGATTAATTTTACAAGTGACATTTAAGTCCCTGTTGAGTTATACCTGCTAAGCTCCCAACCAATTTCAAGCTGTTCACTATACCAAAGTCTTATACCAGACTTTAAAAGAAAACAAAGTTCAAAAAAGAAACCAGCACAGAACAAGGTTTTCTTTTGTGGAAGGGGCATGAGGCAGTAGTCCTGTTTTTAGAATACACAATAGCAGACTTTTGATAAAAAAGAAAAAAGATTGTCGTGGGAGATTGTGTGTTCTAGTGCTATGATATCCCCCCACCAACCCTCCCACCCCTTGGCTCTTCCCTAAAGTGAGAATACAATGAAATTGGTTTGTATTTATAGATATTTTACAAGGTTAAATAAGAACAACAATAATAAAAAAAATTGAACACTAAAATGAACAGGGTTTTGTTTTTTTCTCTTTTTAATTTTCTTTCCAAACGTGACCAGTGTTGCTGAGTGACACTCAAGTAACTGGTGGTTTTCCTGTGCAGCTGGCTGCTCGGGACTATTCAAGTGGAGTTGGAAGCTGATGCAGAAGCGGCATTATTGGTCTGTCCACGGTCTCCAGCATTAGCATCTGCAAATTCAAAGTCCCAAGAGAGCATAAGCAATGTTATAGTATCTCAAGTGCACAAGTACATTGCTTCACACACACACTAAGTTCTGTGGCCTTCCAAAGGTGTTATCTGATATAGTTTAAATATGGAAAATAGTATAAAATCTGACTCTTTTTCTGTTTAGAGTGAAGTGATGGTACTTGGATAGGGAAGACAGTATCTGAATAAACTATAGACGCGGGACTAGAAACCATTTCTGTCAAAGCTCTTGCTGGGACCAGCAGTACCAGTACTCAGTTGAAGTCTGGTTCGTCTGAAAACTAATGAGTTCACACACCTGGAAAACTAGCTAAAAATTCTGAGCCATGTTCCAGAAAAAAAATCGACATATGTTCTCCCTCATATGTGGATCCTAGGATCAGACTCTGATAAATAAGTATGCAAACAGACAACTCCAGGAACCAGGACAAGGGTAAGGAAACAGTGAGGTAAAGGAAAAGAAATAACCTGAAGGAGAAGAATAGTAGGTAACAGGCCTTA